GACTCGACTCGACTCGAGTGAAGCCACTGACTCGACTCGACTCGATCAAAAACTGAAATGACTCGACTCGACTCGTGACTCGACCTTTGAGTGACTCGACTCGACTCGTGACTCGACCTGTAGGTGACTCGTTACAACACTGCTACGCACTGACGCCAGTCTCCGCTACGTGCACCTTGCCGTCCTTGGCTCATAAGCCGAATGACTGAAGTTCTTACTGCAAATAATAGAGGTCACTGCAGGAACAAACGAACGAACGAACGAACGAATAATTTGAAAATGCTTTGGTGTCGCGACAATGACTTTTGGCATAACAAAAAATATTCGGTGGTTCTGGTTTCCCGACCAGCCGACCCTAACGTTGTTTCGATGCGGTTGCGTCTGGTTGCCCCATTCGACCCCCATTTTTTCGGGTCATTGCGAGCTGCTCGTCTTGGAATGTTTTATTGTTCGAAATATGTGCTCGGACCGGCTTTGTTTTGCTCGACGTCGAAGATAATGTTTTTGTAGAAAATAAATGTATTTTACAATCCGAGATATGATGGTCTGGAAACTCAACATTGTGTTATGGTTTTGTCGGAGCTGATGTTAATTTTTCTATTGAAAATATTGATTTTTGTTGCATGAAATTGAGACTGCTAGCGCTTTCGAGCTGAGGTTTATCTACCTTCCCACAAAGTAAGAAAAACAACGCAAAAAAATGAACCTAATTTCAAACAAAGTTAGCGAACTGACCGATTGCTTGAAAATAGATTTAGCGATTATTAACTTCTTATTAACCGAACGCGAGGTCTATACAGTGAAATATCGGACCGAGGTCTTTTTTGAACAGACCGAGCCCACAGGGCGAGGTGTTTTCAAAAAGACCGAGGTCCGATATTTCTCTGTACATAACGAGCAAGCGAGGTTAATAAAAAGTTTATTATATGGCATTTATAGGCATTTATACTTGAAACCAACAAGAAATGCATGATTTGAAATGCATACTAGTAGCGTAGTACACATTTGGTCGAAGAAAAAAAAATACCAATGTATTCCTTAAATTAAATTGTACCAATGTATTCCAATGTACAATTGTTTAAATTAAATTGTACCAATGTATTCCTTAAATTATCTTCAAATTTTCAATTAGTTTTGCTGTTTTATTTTTAAAATGCATCGTTTGTTTTTACCTAATGGAAATAATGGAAAAAAGTGCTTCTCAGCAAGTCACAGTCCGCCATTTCACCGGAAGTGATACTTGCCATATAATAAGTACATGTATTCTTCTTTGTTATAGAATGGTCCATCTCGACCAAGACCGTATTCTTATCATGAATCAAGCTACAGTAAGTTGTTAATTTTTTGAAAAAAATTTTCAAGTTAGGCTGCCGTGTGTGATAATATAAGATTTTTATTGGTTATTGCCGAGTACTTGAGCAGCTACTAACTTATGACTCCTGCGGCCGGTTGTTTAAATTGGTTTTAACTCTGAGTTACAAAAGTAAAACTTACAGTAACCTGTTGTTTTGGTTTGTGTATTTTTGCATGTCTGCATGTTTATTTCAAAACTTTACAAAAAAGACTTCTGACATCATTTCTGGAAAAAATATTTTGATGTTTATAAAGAGGCTGTTCGCAAGATTGCACACACGTGTTTCGTTAACCGAAGATTGCAACATGAGCTCCACCTTTGAATTTACTATACGAGTAAATTCTTAAACACGTCCGAATTTATCATTATGATAGAAGATTAAGCTAATCGACTGTCGAGCAACCTGCCCCAGGAAGTACCAGACCGTAAACCAGGTTTCCATATGGTCGTAAAGATGGAGCCACGATCTTTCTCAACGGCCAGATTATAATAGTTTTTACCCGTAAACCACATATAAATCATATAAGATATTCTTTATTTATAATCACCCTGCCTATTCTTAGTTCTAAACTGCTGTATTTCGGCTGTTGAGAAAGATCGTGACTCAATCATATGGAAATAGGCTTTAAAGCTACATTTACACGCTGCGTTTTGTTGTATACGATTATTATTTCGGCGTTTACTGTATTTGTACAGTGGTTGCATTTCAAATTTTGCCGGATACTAAATGAGAATAGGAATTATGATATCAGCAGTAGTTTCAATACACCAGAATGACAATCGTGACAAATAACCCTAACAAACCCTAACTATTTGTCCAGTTAACAGACGTCCTGTTCAAATATAACTTTAATAACCCCTGCACCATCCGTAAAGACGAGTAAAGTTTCTTTGACAAGTTTTCAGTGACAAGACAGTACATCCTTAGTTGTACTGTTAGTTATCCTGTTATTCAAGTTAGTCACGCTGTCTTTTGAACGAGGAAACCTTTCTCGTCTGTATACGAGGCTTATCCGTGGTGTTCTATAACTACAGTCAGTGGTACAAGTAATAAACGGCGGAATTTTCACTTTTTCAGATACTAGCTATGAGGAAACGTCCCAGACAACAACAGTTGCATCGGTATGGACAATTCGTCATGTTGTGTATTGTATTGTAACAGTTTGCTCTTTCTAACATTCACAGAAGGTGAAGTGGTTAGCGCACTTGCCTTTCTCCTCTAAGGTCACAGGTTCAAATCTCAATGAGAACATCTCAATGTGACTCGAACCCAGTCCTCATGTGAAAAGAGTAAAAGTCAACGCTCTGCCGAAAGTCGTGGGTTTTCTCCGGTTTCCTCCCACAGGGAAAGTTGACAGGGTGGGTTAAACACGTAGGTTAGATCATTAATGAGGTATGGACTAATAGCGGCTGCTTAAAGCGCCATTTGTAAGCTCACAGTCTAGCTCGGTCTGCTTGACGTCAGTTCCGGTTCTGTCTATCTATCTGTCTATTCACAATGTAACCAGTCCCTGAAAAACCCTGATAGGAGTGTGCTGTGCAACATCTGTATAGAAGGTTCAATAAAGCAGGGGGGCGTGTGTTTCAATCTCATTTAATTTTTGACGATATTTTATGCCATCAAAGTTTGCTAAAGCATTGTCAAACTTTGAGAAAACCTTTTTCGTCAAAGGTTTATACCAGTGGCACACACAAGATGGGGGAACCTTTCAACAACCCCTCCAATGGTAGAAAAACTATTACCAATGCAAGACATTAAAAAAACGCCTTTTTATATTGCAATCACCTGAGGATATTATTTTGTCATGCTACATAATATGGCATTTTGGGTGACAGTATTAATGGTTAGCACCTCGAACACTATAGATAGATAGATACTTTATTTCACGAGGGTAGCACTAAATAGCCCGAGGCTAATAAACTTGTGGCCCTCAATAGCGGAAATGCCTATCTGATTTCGCCAGAAAGTAGTCACATTGAATTCTCAAACAAAAGCAATACAAAACTACTTTACTTTATGTGTTGTGACGTCATTTGCACGGGCTGGATGAGGCATCAACTATTTCGCTGACCTCAGAATGACATTTCGTCAAAATTTTTTTCTTAAAGATAAGTTTAGAAACAAACTTGGAGTAGGGTTAGGGTTAGGATTAGGGTAAGAGTTGGTGTTTGGAGTAGGGTTAGTGTTAGTAAATCCATTGCCTTGTTACGTTTTGTCACGCTGAGGCCAGCGAAATAATCTCTTCTGCTGGATGATGTCAATTCACACCCCAGTATTTTGCCAAGTGTCAGGGACTGGTCTATCCTTGATAAAACTGTACATTGTTTGAAGAAACTTCGGTGATACACATCTCCCAGTTTGTCAACAAGATGTGCTCGCAGTGCTTGTTTCCAGTTGTTGATAAGTCTGGAACAAGTTATTATCATCTTGTAACAAGGTTGAGGAGGCTAACAGATTTGAAACAAGTTGTTCCAACAAGTGTGATATAGTCTGCACGTAACAAGTTGTTCACAAGTTGATGACAACAGGCTCGTAGCAACTTGTTTCGTACAGCCTGTATTAATCTTGTTGTAACAACTTACGGCAAGTCCGTTACCGTCATCAACATTGTGTAACAAGGTGATAGCAACTTTTCCAGACCTGTCACATCAACTGGGAACAAGATGTGCGAACACATCCTTGTTACACTTGTTTGCAAATCTGTAACACTTTTACGTGTGTTACTATTCTTATTCGATTTAGTGAGCGTGATATTTTTTATATACCATAGGGTGGGGATCAGAAGTTCAAGACAAGCGTACAGTTGAAAATTGGCAAGAGTACGGATGACAGCTCAATCGGTAGAACGAGTGGCGCTAGAACGCCACCAGCAAAGTCTCCAACTGGAGAATTCAAGGTTGATAGTATACCTCTTTTTTATTAACACTTCGATCTACGGTTTCTCGAACCCCGGGAGCGATTTGAAGTTTTGCCGAATATTTAACAATTATTCGCCGAAGGCGAGGTGATTATCGGGGAATATTCGCCGAGACGAAGTCGAGGTGAATATTCCCCGATAATCACCGAGCCTGAGGCGAATAATTGTCTTAGTATTTTTGCAAGTTTTTTTGTGTTTTTCTGGTCTGAATTCATTTTAATTTCGCTTATTTCTTTATCACTAACTTCAACAAAACGGCTAGCCGCCATTTTGAAAATTTCGATTTTGTTATTCACCTGTAGGTGAATATAACAGATATGTTCACTTGTGCAAAAATACTAAAAATAAAATAACGAATCGTCGCTGTTGATGTCAGGAAATCAGGGATATTTTCAAGCACTTTAGTCTACTACCGTTTTTCAGAAGATTGAGTTTCTTTTGGGGGGAGGACGTTAAAAAAATTTGTGTTCAGGGGCGCACATTCCAAAATATTTTGGAGGGGTGTAAAATATTTCGGGACCAACTTTTTACATGTTTACATTTTGGAAGTGGGAGTTACACGAGGCGCCACCATGGTTGTCGCCGAGCAGAAAAACTTGTTGAACTATTTCTCAAAATAGATAATGTGCGACCCTGTTTGCGGTACACATTTCTAGTGTGCATGGGCATGAGTATTCCTCTACGAGATTTTGTGTCTCAGAAGTGAAACAGTTTTCGACAGCTTTTTGAACAAAATTATATAGAAAAACAGGTTTTTAATGGAACATTTACGTTAAAAAAAATCAAATTGTGAAAAAAATCATTGTGGAGGAAGATTGAGTTTCAAAACTCAATTGAAGATCGAGTATTTACTACCGTATACCGGTAGTAGAAAAGTGCTTGAAAATACGGTAAATACCCCTGGAAATGACGCTTACCTCGTATTGTTCAAATATCCTTAAACTTAAATTCCTTTAAAAACGTACTATACTGTTCTTTTACTTGAATGTATTAATTCCGGATACTTGCTTTCATTTCCAAATGTTTATATCGGAATTTAATTTAAAGGCGCAGTTGGCAGCCTTTTGAATGATGATTTTTAAGGCGCATTACAACCCTTTTAATTTAAAAAGCTAACTATATACAGAGGAAAATCAATTAAGCATAATTCAATAAAGCTCTGAAATTCGCGAACCGCGTGACTCTACAGGCTCACCTCCACCCACTGCCTCCCACCTTGTCGTCCTGAAAACTGTAGCAGCTCTACTCCGTGTGCAAGCTGAGAAATTACTTCCCGGTTTCCACCACTTGGTCAAGCAGTACTGATTTCTGCTTACATGGACATGGTGCAGATTAGAAAATGGGAAATTTAGAATCATCTAATGTATGTCTGGCGATGTTTGCTGATATATGTGTTAAATTTTTGTAATTACAGATTTTCCAGTACCGGGAGCTCAAGGTGGATAACTATCGCTCGCCAAGAGGAGTTGATAAACAGAACCTTGAGGTAAAAGTTTGAATTTTTTCGCGCAAACATTAGTGTGTGTGGCCAGCGCGTGATGCGAAAATTTGTGGGGCTAATGGACATTGTTAATAGAATGGACCTTTCCCCTTATAACTAAAATTTCGATCTAGACAAAAATTTCATCACAGCTTGAAAGAGCATCACAAAATTTGTAATATTCCAAAGTTTTGTTGCAAAATCTTGTAAAATGCGGATAATATAGCCTTGCGAAGTTTGCCGTTTTTTAGTCATTTTGTATTACAAACGGGAAATTGACATCCGATTCGGGTGTTGGGCCTGCAATTTCCCGTTTGTAATGCAAAATGACTGAAAATTGCAAACTTCGCAAGGCTCTATTTTCCTCATTGTGATGCTCTTTCAAGCTGTGATGAAATATTTGTCTAGACTTGCCTCGATCAGAATTTTGGTTATAAGGGGAAAGGTCTATTGTTGATTAAATTGTGGTTAAATTTGGATGAAAATTGAATGAGACATTAGCAACAGTTTGTTTTGCTTTGCTGGACAGAGTGTACTGAATGCATTGTCCAGTGTATAATTGATGCATGATAGTACCCAACTTAGGGACCGGTCATTATTTCGGGGAGGGGGGGGGGGGGCCCCGGGGGGAAATGTTTTTCTTGGTAAAATGTTTGTTGGCAAAATGGTGGAAATTTTTTCTTAAAATTTTCCTCATCCAACCATCAAAAACATTTTTACCCGACCTCGAATATATATATATATATATATATATATCGACCGCAAATATCAATTAAAAACTAAATACCCACCCCTGGCTAAAAACATTACAAAAGAATACCGTTAAGTTGTCACACATATCCCTTGACCACTTCTGTGACAAGTTTGATAACCGCTTGTTCAATTTTTCATGTTGTCTGCACATGCACTTTCTTTGGAGATACCATTTGCTTCCTGACAAATCGGAAAATGATCAAGATAGTGACTCGGATTGAACATATATTGTATTGACATATGACTGTTGACACTGATTTTTAGTCTTTAGATTTCTAGTCGAGTGAGTCATGCTTTGGAAATGACAATAAAGTTCATTTATCCAACATTTTACTCACTCAAAATTTTGTTTATCCAACCCTTTTCTCTTCAGTGCCACCCATAAACAATGACCAACCCCTTAATTCGCTGGCAGTCGTGTCCAGCCTCTGAGTGTTCTCTAGTTTATGTTGTTTTCGTCGCAACACGCCAAGAGTTTACGTTCTCTTATTTCATAGAAACATCTAAATGATGAAGATTTTCGCGAGATTTTTAAGATGACGCGAAATGAGTTTTATGAATTGCCAAAATGGAAACAGATTGATCACAAGAAGAAAGCTAAGTTGTTTTGATTCATTTTCTTCAGACTTTGTTCTTAGTATAGATTGATGCCTTTGGCTTTGTGACTTAATATTAATATAGCATTAGATATAATTTGTCAATTACGCACCCTATATACTGTACCTTATGACGCATTTGTAAACAGAATGTATACAATCATATGTGTATTAAAATGAGAAGTAGACCATTTAAGTGTGAATAAAAGTTCTGTAAAACGTTTAATACATATTGGGCCGTTGTGCCGATCTACCGTTTCAAAGTTTACGTCAATATCCGATTGCAAAGGGCCTGTTGTAACGTTGCTGGACGTAAGTTGTTGTTGTTGTTGTTGTTGTTGTTGTTGTTGTTGTTGTTGTTGTTGTTGTTGTTGTCAGACCTGGAAAAAGTGTTCAATGTTCCTGGGATCCTGAATTTGCCTTTTTCAAATGTTCCTCAAATAATCAAATTCGGCTCAAAGTGCGTAAAAACAATGAAAAATTTGACCGTGCGTTACGTGTATCAGTGTAACAATAAAGTTTATTTGACTGTATATTGTTTTGACTTAGGCTCCATTTCCAGCTGGAACTCAATTATATTGGTTGTAAAATTGCTGAGGAAACAAAACAATCTTCAAATTATATTAACAGGATATGAAGAACACTTCGCAATCTCAAAATAGACTCAAATGGCAGATAACTAAATACGATTCCTTAAAATTTTCCCTTAAAGTACGCGTGATAAATTCAAAATGTTCCTCAATCTTGTTGCTAAGGCAAATATTCCTCAGAATCCCGAGATCCCACTTTTTTCCAGGTCTGGTTGTTGTCGTTCTGTTGTTTAAATTTTTTTTTATTTTTTCGCAGTCGATCGTTGTTAATTCTGCAACATATTTCTGTTGTTATTTCAAGTGCAATTCGGGGAAAACATGCACGAGTCAACGTGTGCAATTTGAAGTTTTTCAAACACTCGCGAGTATATGTTTCTCTCGCTTGAGGTTAATTTGTTCACGGCAATCCGGTTTATTGTAATATCAGTGAATGCAATTCGAAGGCCATTTTTACTGCAACTTGCAACACAATTTCTGGCAGAGTAATATATTATCTTCAAACACTCATTAAAGTGTTTATGAAACGAAATTTTTGCCTCATTTTTTATTGTCTTATTAAAAGGTACTGCTTAAATGATGAAGAATAACGTTTATAGTTTGTTCGTATCTCATTCCCAAGTTATCGCACTTTCTATATTTTGAGTTGTGACGTCACTAGTTTGAGTCAAAATAGTGGCAATAACAAGAAAATCTGATATCTTGATGATCATTTAATAAAATTCAATGAAACTTGGCACACTTAGTGGGTGCAACGAAGTGAACAATTTGGCTTGTTTATATGGTTGTTATGGCAACACACT